GGCTTGAGTGAACAGGGTGTTTTTTTTGTTTCTGTGGAGGCACACGAGAAAAGTTTCTGTTGGTAATTCTGCAAACCTGTGAAGTATTGACTTCATTACATGTAAGTCTCTTTGAAAGCTGTTTTGCTGTTGATTTCAGTGAGCTTACTGCAATGGCAAAAGTTGGCCCCATGACTAGAGCAAGCATAGGACTCCCCATTCCTTCTTTGATAATAGATCTTCACGCTATTAAACATCAGCATGATACAAGGAATTGATGAAAGACATGTATTTTTGATATGCTTAGATGCCTGCAGTTCACTCACTTTCACTAACAGTCAGTAACTGTTCACTACTGCAGTCCCTGTATCTTCGTAAAAGCAATTGCTCTGAAAAGTGACTGAGTGAGAGCTTGCTTTGAGCAATTACTTGTTTTTGGAGCGTGTTGGATATAAGTATTCTTTTCATGTATTGAAATTAGAAGCCCAGTTCTTTTCATTAACATATTTCTAAGGTACTATGCCAGAGGAGATGCTGAGAATGCAATGCGATACATCAATGGAACCAGACTTGATGACAGGATCATAAGGACAGACTGGGATGCAGGATTTAAGGAGGGTAGACAGTATGGTCGTGGAAGATCAGGGGGCCAGGTAGGTTGTTGAAAAGTCTGGTTCTTAAGACGCTGCTGACTTTGCCAAATCTCTGCTTTTGAATGAACAAACTTAAAACAGCTTAGGAAATAGCAACTTAAGAATTATTGTTACATACAGCAGTATAAATTAATCTCTAAGAGATCTCATCGATGATAATGTTATGCACTAAGAGTAAGAGCTAATCTTAGTTTTCCTTCTCTTTCTTCCCTCCACCAAACTCAATCTACTTTCAGAAACTTGTTTGCTGCTCAGGGAGATAATGCTTGTAAATAGTCACAGAAAATACAAGGCTGTCATGAACGCAAGGCTAACGCTTAACTTGCCTAAAGTTGAGCAGATAGCAGTTGCTTTTACTGCTACAGTATGGGGTGTCCACCCTCTATTGTCTGTCTTAAAAAGTCCCTCTGGGCCGGATTAAAACACAAGTTAGCTTTGTGTTGTATTCTAGGATTTTGCATGATGCACTTCACCTTCTGTTTTGTCAGTGAGCTACTTGCAGCCACTTACATACTGTGGTTGTAGTCTGATGTGTTCTGATGGTGTAACAGTGCTTGTGGAATTGTTCTTCTTGATGTCTTTACTGGACTTTCCTTTTTTCCCCCCTTTGTAAGGTCCGAGATGAATATCGGCAAGACTATGATGCTGGAAGAGGCGGCTATGGCAAAACTGTTCAGTGCCAGTGAATAGCGAATGACTCATCAACCTCGCAGGAAAACTAAAGCTGCACTGTAAATGTCGTGAGCCATGAAGTAGGTCTGTTGCACGCAAATTTAAGTAACTAGAAATTCACAGAAACTACTATCAGCGTTCCTGCGGTCACTTAGTGCGTTCAATCTCTCTTTCATTTTAAAGTCTAGTTACAATACCAGGCTCCACAGCATTGGAGAGTGCTTTAATACAGAGGACTTGGAAGCAGGGTTTTAAGCACTGGTATGCACAAGACTTTAGTCTCTAACTGCTGCTGTAACTCTTCAAAACAGAAAAAAGATTTAACACTACGGTGCTTTCTTCCACTGGCGAAAACTTGATTATACTGTCATTGAATTTTGTTTACGTTAGTATCACAGGATAGAGAGGAGGGCTTGTATATGTTTCAGAGATGAAAGGAAAAGGCAAGAAGCCTGAAGGAGAGCAATTTCTAGGGAAAACTTGAAGTTGCAGATTTTCCTGGGGTTACTGGATTAGCAGCCTGTAAACTGGTGTAGTTCCTTTGTGGAACTAGCGCATATACGTGAAAGTCGCAACAAAGCAAGCTGCAGGAGAGATTGAGTTCAGAAACCATAAAGTGAGAAGCAACCATAGCACACAGTAGAAAGCAGACGCTCAAAGTCTTCTATAAAGTGAAATGGGATTGCATGACATTTGTTTATCCACTTGGCTTTGTGGGATGCAGAGAACAGCAAGTTTATAAGTTATAGTACCAGTTATTTGCTCAGTTTGGATAGTACTAGTTTGCTTCTGTCTGGTAGCTCTCTACAGCCCTGATGTTTGAGGAATGGTATCTTCCCTGTACCTATGAAGGTGGCATCGAGTCGATTTCTACAGTTACCCCAAGAATGGAATGTTTGAGGAACTAGGTATATAAAATAGAGGGAAAGTTTGTTCTGAAAATAAACTTTTCTATTTAAGAAACCTGATTGCAGATAAAGGTAAAAATTAAAAAAAAAAAAAAGACTTTTGAGAGCCTTACTTTCTACTGAGCACATAATGGTAGAATGGTAAAATAATCACAGGACTTCATAGTTTTTTCTCTGGTTCATATTAACACTGTCAGTTCATGTGATGAGATTCTATTGTACTGCAGACATAAGAAAAATAATCTGCGCTCACATCATCTGTGAAATTGGCCTGCTGAAATGATAGAGTTTGAATGGAGCTGCTGTAGTTTTTTGGGGATTTTTTTTTTTTTTAATGGAATTCTGAGTTCTTTGGAAACTGCAATTCATTAAGTTTTTCCACATATTTTATTGTCTGTGACTTTTTAAAAACCTCTAAAATATCAGGTATATAAAACTTGATCTTTCCTCATTGAGGATATTATTGAAAATCTTGATATTTCTTGCATACCGTTTGTCACAACTGTTACTTGAAGTTGGAAATGCCATGAGGTAAGACATTTGCTATAAGACTTCGCTTACTTAGCAAGCTTGTTTGGCACATAGACATACAGTAAAACTAGATTTTCAGGATCACTTAGTTTGCAGACAAGGATTTCAGGAAATTTTTTTTTTTTTTTTTTTCCTCCCTTCTCTACATAGTGTATTTGATGATGAGTTTACAGCCCGTAATCTGCTCTAGGAAACCTGTGAAGTTTATTTCCACTGTATCGGATTTTGTATGCAAACTTGCCTGTTACCAAAACTCCTAAGTCATTTTCAAATAAAGCTACAACAGTAAAATGGGTTGGTTTTGGTTTTGTTTTTTAAGAGAACTGGTGAGAAAAGTGAGCTGTATTCAGACTCTTGACTGCATCCCTTACTCTATTGTCTTTTAAGATGGAAAGAGT